ACAGCAGGCGAGCATGGGAGGAGGTGACAAGGGAGCTAGAGAGCAAGATGTCTTGGGAGGAGCGGAGCAGACGATTTGGACGATATCTGCAGATGAGGTTGGTGATATAGCTAGGGGCAGTGTTGTGGATGGCTTTGTATGTCCTGGTATTTTGAATATTATACATTGGCTAATGGAAGCCAGTGAAGAGAATGGCAGAGAGGGGCAGCAGTCGCTGATTGGTTGGTAAGATGTATAAAAGTCTAGCAGCAGTATTCATAATAGACTAAAGATGGGAAAGCATGTGTAAAGGTAGGCCAGTGAGGAGGGAGTTACAGTAATCAAGGCAGGAACCAGGAGTCACAAAGGCCAAGGGAGTGGAGTTTACTGAGGAGGAGCAAGTGGTTGACTGTGTCAAAGGCAGTGGAAAAGTGTAAGAGTATGAGTATGGAGTAATGGCCATTGGTTGTAGCAGTTAGAAGGTCGTTAGTGAGTTTTAGTAGGACAGTTTCAGTGAAATGTTGTGGGCAGAAGCCAGACTGTAGGGTATTAATAAGTTGTTGGTGAGGTAGCAACTCATATGGTTGTGGACAAGGCGCTCAAGAAGCTTGGAGGAAAATGGGAGCAGGTATATGGATCTTAAGTTATTTAAACACATGGGGTCAAGCAACATTTTTATAAGCATGGGGGTAACTAGTGCATGTTTGAGTGGGGTGGGAAGGTGCCAGTGGAGAGGTTAAAAATGTGGGTTAGATAGTTTAAGATAGAGCAGGCAGGAGGCAGCAATAATTGTAGGGGGACAGGGTCTAGAGGACAGGTGATGAGTCGAGCCTTAGAAAGGAGTTTGACAGCTTCCTCCATGGTAACAGGGTCAAAGGAGGACAGTGTTGGGTGTGGTGTTGGGTCTGGTATGTTGTTTGGAGAGAGAAAGCTTGACACTGGAGATCTCACAACGAATTGTGTTAGTCTTGTTCTTGAAAAGACTGGCAATCTCCTGGGCAGTAAGTAAGTTGGTGGGTAGAGGCAGTGGGAGATGAAGTAAGGAATTAAGGGTAGAAAAGATAGAGAGTGGTGTAGTAGATTTGTTTGGCAGTGTGGAGGCCGGAGTTGTATTTGAGAAGAGCAGATTTGTTGAGGGCGATGTCTTGCAGGGATTAATTTTACGTCATGCTCGATCAAGAGCACTGGGGAAAGGGAGAGAAAGTGTTTGCAGGCATGTCATTATCGCAAAAGTTCATAACTGCAGGTAGATGGATGGCTTGAGCCACTGGGAGCTGGATGGAAAGGCAGCCACTGGAGATGAAGAGGGGATGGGCACCTTAAAGAGCGGGATGCAAAGCCTGGAGCATAGCAAAAAGTGTAGGAGCTTCAGCTGCTGTGTGCGCTGGTGAATTTGTGGATCAGCAGATCACTGGAACTGAAAATTCACTGGAAAGGACTGCTGTGCAGGAAAGGATGAGCAACCTGGTAACACCACTGGGGAAGCGAGTGTGTGTGTGACTCTAGGGAATGCATTTTCAGAAGAAAAACAAACTTCCTTTATCAGACTTGATCAAGAGCACGGCTGTGTCTCTTGAGACTTCTGGTGTCATATGTTTGCATTGTTGTAGTTCTGTGTGTAGAGAGAGGAGCAAGTTTGTCCACAGAGGACGATAGTAAGTTGTTGTAGACAGATGTGACCAGGTCTGGGCAGGACAGGGGTGCAATTTTATCATAAAGGCACTTAGGAGCAGAGTGAAGGGAAGGGCTGAGGTGGTTGAGGTTTCTATGGGTAACTGTTTGCTGGTTGGAGGCATGGGAGGTAAGAGACAGGGAGAGTGTGAAACTGATAAAATTGTTATCAGAGAGAGGAAAAGGGGTGTTAGAGAGGTTGCAGGGACTGCATAGGAGGGAGAACACAAGGCCAAGAGTGTTCCCATTGGAATGAGTGGTGGTTTGTGTCCATTGTGTTAGGTTACAAGAGGAGGAGGTAAGGTTGAATAGTTAAGAAGTGGCTGAGGTGTTAACATTGGCTGGAATGTTAAAGACACTGAGGATGATGGCAGATACCTCAGAGGAGAGAAAGTAGGGTAGTCATGCAGAGAAGTCATCAAGAAAGCTTGACACTGGGCCAGGAGGCTAGTAAATGACTGTGATCCTCAGACAAACAGGAGAAAAAAAGACAAATACAGTGCACTTCAAAAAAGCAGAGGGATAGAGAGGCAGGTGTAGGAAGAACCTGGAACGTGTAAAACTCTGTCCCCTTTTCGTCCACTGGGTCTGGGTGAGTCCAGAAGAGGCCCCCATGGGAGAAGGCAGCTGGGGAGACAGAGTCAGATTCCTGGAGTCAGGTTTTGGTAACAGCAAGTAGGTTGAGGGAGTGGGCACATAAAAGGGGGGCTGGCTTGTGGAAGTAGGGGAATTGAGATAAGAGAGTGAGGATTGCAGCTGCTGCCAGAGAAGGGAAACTGCTGCTTCTGCAGGTGGGAGTTTGATGATGGAGGGCCAGGATTTGGGGTGATAGCTCCAGTTAGTTATTTAGTAGTAGCAGGAGGGTGATGTAGGTGAGGTGGAAGTGGGATTTATACAACGGCAAATGCTGCAGTTATTTGGGAGCGGTGACATTACAGGTGAAACTCGAAAAATTAGAATATCGTGCAAAAGTTCATTTATTTCAGTGATGCAACATAAAAGGTGAAATTAATATATGAGATAGACTCATTACATGCAAAGCAAGATAGTTCAAGCCATGATTTGTCATAATTGGGATGATTATGGCTTACAGCTCATGAAAACCCCCAAATCCACAATGTCAGAAAATTAGAATATTACATGCAATCAATAAAACAAGGATTGTACATAGAACAATATCGGACCTCTGAAAAGTATAAGCATGCATATGTATTCAGTACTTGGTTTGGGCCCCTTTTGCAGCAATTACTGCCTCAATGTGGCATGGCATGGAAGCTATCAGCCTGTGGCACTGCTGAGGTGTTATGGAAGACCAGGATGCTTCAATAGCGGCCTTCAGCTCTTCTGCATTTTTCGGTCTCATGTCTCTCATCTTTCTCTTGGCAATGCCCCATAGATTCTCTATGGGGTTCAGGTCCGGCGAGTTTGCTGGCCAATCAAGCACAGTAATCCCATGGTCATTGAACCAGGTTTTGGTGCTTTTGGCAGTGTGGGCAGGTGCCAAGTCCTGCTGGAAAATGAAGTCAGCACCCACATAAAGCTCGTCTGCGGAAGGAAGCATGAAGTGCTCCAAAATCTCCTGGTAGACGACTGCGTTGACCCTGGACTTAATGAAGCACAGTGGACCAACACCAACAGATGACATGGCTCCCCAAATCAACACAGACTGTGGAAACTTCACACTGGACTTCAAGCATCTTGCAGTGTGTGCCTCTCCATTCTTCCTCCATACTCTGGGTCCTTGGTTTCCAAATGAGATGCAAAAGTTGCTCTCATCAGAAAAGAGGACTTTGGACCACTGAGCAACAGACCAAGTCTGTTTTTCTTTAGCCCAGGTAAGATGCTTATGACGTTGTTTGTTGTTCAGGAGCTGCTTGACAAGAGGAATACTACATTTGAAGCCCATGTCCAGGATCCGTCTGTGTGTGGTGGCTCTTGATGCACTGACTCCAGCCTCAGTCTACTCTGTGTGAAAGTCCCCAACACTTTTGAATGGCCTTTCCCTGACAATCTTCTCCGGGCTGTGGTCATCCCTGCTGCTTGTGCACCTTTTTCTTCCACACTTTTCCCTTCCACATAACTTTCTATTAATGTGCTTTGATACAGCACTTTGGGAACATCCAACTTCTTTTGCAATTACCTTTTGAGGCTTTCCCTCCTTATGGAGGGAGTCAATGATGGTTTTCTGCACAACTGTCAGGTCAGCAGTCTTTCCCATGATTGTGATTCCTACTGAACCAGACTGAGAGACCATTTAAAGGCTCAGGAACCCTTTGCAGGTGGTATGGCTTAATTAGCTGATTAGAGTGGGACACTTTGAGCCTAGAATATTGCACCTTTTCACAATATTCAAATTTTCTGAGATTGTGGATTTGGGGTTTTCATGAGCTGTAAGCCATAATCATCACAATTATGACAAATCACAGCTTGAACTATCTTGCTTTGCATGTAATGAGTCTATCTCATATATTAGTTTCACCTTTTAAGTTGTATTACTGAAATAAATGAACTTTTGCACGATATTCTAATTTTTTGAGTTTCACCTGTATGTGGGAAAGAGCAGGAGATGATAAGTGCAATAGTATTGAGAGGGCAGTGAGGGTGATATGTACAGGTTGTGAGGTCAGGAGGAGGGGTAAAGAAATGAGAATTTGAGGAGAGAGGGCATTAAAGCAAAAGGAAAGTTAGTAAGAGCATGTTGGAGGGTGAAGAGAAAATGTATCCACTTGCCCTCCAGGGGATTTACCCCCCTTCCTGACCAGGCCATTTTCTGCAATACTGCGCTGCATTACTTTAACTGACAATGGCGCAGTCATGCAATGCTGCACCCAAATTAAATTTACGTCCTTTTTTTCCCACAAATAGAGCTTTCTTTTGGTGGTATTTGATCACCTGTGCGTTTTTTATTTTTTGCGCTGTAAACAAAAAAAAAGACCAAACATTTTGAGAAAAAAAACAACATTTTTGACTTTGCTATTAAACATGTTTAATAAAAAAATTTAAAAAAATCAAATTTCATCATAAATTTAGGGTAAAAATGTATTCTGCTACATGTCTTTGCTAAAAATTATTTCTAATATGTGTAAATTAATTGGTTTATGTGAAAGTTTTAGCGTTTACAAATGGCAGTATATATACTGGAATTTAAAAAACAAATTTTCTTTTACTAGTAATGGCGGCGATCAGACACTTATAGCGGGACTGCGGCGGGCATTCTGACACTGGGTGGAACTGACTTGGTGTCACTGACATCCCCAATGACACCAATACAGTGATCAATGCTAATAAAAAGCACTGACACTGTAATAATGACACTGGGCAGGAAGGGGTTAACATGAGGGCGATCAAAGGGTTAACTGTGTGCTGTTTCACAGTATGCTGTGTGTGTCCTTTCAATTGTAAGCACACTGCTTTGTATGGCTCTGCTATGCAGAGCCATACATAGCAGTGTGCAGGAGCTGACGGGAGAGAACTGTATTGTTTACATACAGTTCTCTCCCCTGTCAGTAATACTCGGTGAGCACCGGGTGCCAGCGAGTAATCACTGTCCGGGACCCGGTGATTGACAACCGAAGCCACGAATGGCGGTGCCTCTACCTGGAACTGCAAAATCACGTATTTAGCGCCACCGTACTATGTCCACAGTCTCTGGTCATCTCCTGTACTATGTCTGCAGTCTCTGGTCATCTCCTGTACTATGTCCGCAGTCTCTGGTCTTCTCCTGTACTGTGTCCGCAGTCTCTGGTCATCTCCTGTACTATGTCCGCAGTCTCTGGTCATCTCCTGTACTATGTCCGCAGTCTCTGTCATCTCCTGTACTGTGTCCGCAGTCTCTGGTCATCTCCTGTACTGTGTCTGCAGTCTCTGGTCATCTCCTGTACTGTGTCCGCAGTCTCTGGTCATCTCCTGTACTATGTCCGCAGTCTCTGATCATCTCCTGTACTATGTCCGCAGTCTCTGATCATCTCCTGTACTATGTCCGCAGTCTCTAGTCATCTCCTGTACTATGTCCGCTGTCTCTGGTCATCTCCTGTACATGTCCGCAGTCTCTGGTTATCCCCTGTACTGTCTGCAGTCTCTGGTCATCTCCAATACTATGTCCGCAGTCTCTGATCATCTCCTGTACTATGTCCGCAGTCTCTGATCATCTCCTGTACTGTCTCCTGTACTATGTCCGCTGTCTCTGGTCATCTCCTGTACTATGTCCGCAGTCTCTGTATCCCCTGTACTGTCTGCAGTCTCAGTCATCTCCTGTACTATGTCAGCAGCCTCTGGTCATCTACTATACTGTGTCTGCAGTCTCTGGTCATCCCCTGTACTGTCTGCAGTCTCTGGTCATCTCCTGTACTATGTCAGCAGCCTCTGGTCATCTCCTGTACTGTGTCCGCAGTCTCTGGTCATCCCCTGTACTGTCTGCAGTCTCTTGGTCATCTCCTGTACTATGCCCGCAGTCTCTGGTCATCTCCTGTACTATGTCCGCTGTCTCTGGTCATCTCCTGTATTATGTCCGCAGCCTCTAGTATTCCCCTGTACTGTCTGCAGTGTTTGGTCATCTCCTGTACTGTGTCCGCAGTCTCTGGTCATCCCCTGTACTGTCTGCAGTCTCTGGTCATCTTCTGTACTAAGTCTGCAGTCTCTGGTCATCTCCTGTACTATGTCCGCTGTCTCTGGTCATCTCCTGCATTATGTCCGCAGCCTCTAGTATTCCCCTGTATTGTCTGCAGTCTTTGGTCATCTCCTGTACTGTGTCCGCAGTCTCTGGTCATCCCCTGTACTGTCTGCAGTCTCTGGTCATCTCCTGTACTATGTCCGCAGTCTCTAGTCATCTCCTGTACTATGTCCGCTGTCTCTGGTCATCTCCTGTACTATGTCCGCAGTCTCTGGTTATCCCCTGTACTGTCTGCAGTCTCTGGTCATCTCCTGTACTATGTCAGCAGCCTCTGGTCATCTCCTGTACTATGTCTGCAGTCTCTGGTCATCCCCTGTACTGTCTGCAGTCTCTGGTCATCTCCTGTACTATGTCAGCAGCCTCTGGTCATCTCCTGTACTGTGTCCGCAGTCTCTGGTCATCCCCTGTACTGTCTGCAGTCTCTTGGTCATCTCCTGTACTATAGACTTGGGCGGGTGGCCACTTTTATGCATGTTTGAGTTTTTGGTACGTGGGTGCACTAGGGCCCTGGTTGCCATTGTGCTACATGCTGGGGTCCAGTGCACTCCTTTGCCTTTAAGAGGGGTGGCTCCCTCAGGTCCACCTGCCCTTGATCTATCCATTAAATGCATGTGCCTCTACTATGGGGACTCATAAATTTTTGAGTTAGGACCACAGATGATCAGGGTGCCGTGTCGTGGCTCTGTGGCTTACGTATGTATTTGCAAATGTGTGCTAACTAAAACCCCTGTTATAAACGCATACTGTTAGACAGGTTAATTCGGTTGTTAGCAAGCTGGCTGGCAAGTTGTCCAAGAACATTGTTCTCTCCCCCCTTTTTTTCACTATGTGATGCCTGTTTATGTGTCCTTGCTTCATAAGCCAGTTATAGACTTGGGGCGGGTGGCCACTTTTATGCATGTTTGAGTTTTTGGTACGTGGGTGCACTAGGGCCCTGGTTGCCATTGTGCTACATGCTGGGGTCCAGTGCACTCCTTTGCCTTCTCTTCTTCTTCTCCTTCTTCTTCCTTTCTTCTTTTTTTTTTTTCTTCTCTTCTTCTTTTTCTCTTCTTCCTTTCCTTCTCTCTTCTTTCTTCTTTTCTCTTCTTTTTTTTTTCCCCTTCCTTTAAGAGGGGTGGCTCCCTCAGGTCCACCTGCCCTTGATCTATCCATTAAATGCATGTGCCTCTACTATGGGGACTCATAAATTTTTGAGTTAGGACCACAGATGATCAGGGTGCCGTGTCGTGGCTCTGTGGCTTACGTATGTATTTGCAAATGTGTGCTAACTAAACCCCTGTTATAAACGCATACTGTTAGACAGGTTAATTTTGGTTGTTAGCAAGCTGGCTGGCAAGTTGTCCAAGAACATTGTTCTCTCCCCCTTTTTTTCACCATCTCCTGTACTATGCCCGCAGTCTCTGGTCATCTCCTGTACTATGTCCACAGTCTCTAGTCATCTCCTGTACTATGTCCGCTGTCTCTGGTCATCTCCTGTATTATGTCCGCAGCCTCTAGTATTCCCCTGTACTGTCTGCAGTCTCTGGTCATCTCCTGTACTGTGTCCGCAGTCTCTGGTCATGCCCTGTACTGTGTCTGCAGTCTCTGGTCATCTTCTGTACTATGTCTGCAGTCCATTGGTTCAGAATATTTTTTTTTTTTTTCTTGTCTTCTTGTTTTTCTCCTCTAAAACCTAGGCACGTCTTATGGTCAGGTGCATCTTATGGAGCAAAAATACAGTAACTTAAGACAACTTACGGTAACTTAAGTACAACAGCAATTACAATAAGTCTAACAAGGCAGATGATTTCAGTCATGCAAGATAGCTTAGTGTTTGAGGAAGGAGTGTAATCAGTGGCTACCGAGGTCAACAGCAGGCAGATGTCAACTGCAGATGGGGAAAGTAGCTTATTGTTTGAGTGAGGAGTGGATTCAGTGGTTACCTGAAGGAGCAGAGCAGAGGAGACATGATAAGAGGATGAAGAGATGTTCAGCTGGAGGGAGAACAAAGGCAATACTAGTGACTGGTCCCTTGCTCTCTAGCTACCTTTTTGGCACAGTTTCTCTTTAACCACTTGTCAACAGGGCACTTATTCCCCTTCCTGCCCAGGCAAATTTTTTTCAGTGCTGTCACCCTTTGAATGACATTTGCGTGGTCATGCAACACTGTACCCATATGAAATTTTTATCATTTTTTGAGACAGAGAGCTTTCTTTTGGTGGTATTTAATCACCTCTGGGTTTTTTTTTTTGCTAAACAAACCAAAAACAACTGAAAATTTTGAAAAAAAAAAATTTTTTTCTTAGTTTTTTGTTATAAAATTTTGTAAATAAGTGATTCTTCTCCTTCACTGATGTGCGCTAATGAGGCTGCAGTGATGGGCACTGATAGGCAGCACTGATGGGCACTGATGAGGAGGCACTGATAGGTGGCACTGATGGGCATTGACAGGCATCACTGATGGGCACTGAAAGACAGCACTCATATATGGCACTGATAGGCGGCACTGACTGGCACTGTTAGGTGGCACTGATAGGTGGCACTGACTGGCACTGTTAGGTGGCACTGACTAGCACTGTTAGGCGGCACTGATAGGCAGCACTGATGCGCACTAATAGGTGGCACTGACTGGCACTGATAGGTGGCACTGATTGGCAGCATTGATAGGTGGCACTGACTGGCACTGATAGGTGACACTGAAAGGCAGCTCAGATGGGCACTGATATGTAGTATTGATGTGCACTGGTAGGCACTGATATGTGGCATTGATGGGCACTGGCAGATGGCATTGATGAACACTGACAGCTGGCATTGATGGACACTGACAAGTGGCACTGCTGGGGCTACACTGATCATCAAGGCACACTGATCATCAGTGCCCTGATGATCAGTGTACATGTCCCCTCTGAGGAATGCCGATTACCGGCTCTCCTCTCCTCACGTGCTTTCAGCGTGACAGCTCGTGAGCAGAGAAATGCCGATACCCGGCATTTCCCTATTTACATGTGATCAGATGTGATTGGACACAGCTGATCACATGACCGAGCAGACGTCTTTGGCTCTTTCTGTTGATCGGTGATCCATTTTGTCCGAGGAACACAACGCACCGCCGATTGCCACGCTGCGCACTCCTGAAGCCGCACACATGCGGTTAGAGTGGAAGGACGTCATATGACGTCCTCCCAGAACGAGAAAACCACCTTGCGCCCATCATTTCCTTATATGGCGGGTGGGAGGTGGTTAAAGCACAAGTTCACCTTTTCACAAAAAATGAAAGTGAAAAAAACCCCACCCACCCAAAGCCTCACCCCCACCACCACAAAAACTGTGGTCCTCCTTGTTCTCTACTCCCACCCAGTCATCCGGCTGTCTGACAACTAAATACTTACCTAGCCAAGTGGTTGGTATTGCATTCACTGCTCTATTAGCCAGTCAGTTCAAGCTCTGAAAACTTTTGGAGCATGTTCGTCGCTAATGGACGATGCCTAAAGCTATATTTCTCAAAGATGCCCAAGCAACACAGCCAACTACTTCTTCTCACATGTAATACGGACCTCTGTCATAAAGTAAGTTGCTGGCTTGCATACATCAGTAAATCATCCACCAGCTTTACATCACAATCACCACATAATATTGAGTGACAATGAGAAGAACATTTTCCTGCACTGCTTTTGGGGAAACCAACACATACTCTTTTCATAACTCACATCTAAACTTTTAGCAAAAAAAAAAAACAAAATTGGATAAAGTGATGAGGAAGCCAGTGGAACCTTTATTCATTTAAAAAATTATCTCCTGGACTTATAAATACAGAAAAGCTGTCCTGTTACCTGGCTAACCTGTCATGTTCAGCCATGATCTTCTCAACGAGCAATGAAACATGGCCAGTAACCAGGGGCGGACTGACCATTTGGAAACTCGGGCACTGCCCGAGGGCCCAGGGTCAGTAGTGGGCCCCATGAGATGCCCCTGGTACCTTTTTCATAGGCTTTTTGAGTTTGGGCAAGGACACAGAGGCCCCATGATCCCCTATTGCCCGGGGCCCCGTGAGTTGTCAGTCTGCCCCTGCCAGTAACTATATATAAAGCAGCAAAGCATGGATAATGTGTTTCCTTTTTTAAAGTGTATCCAGACACTCCCCACACTCCTCTAGTAAACTGTTCTGCCACCCATTTTGCTTTTCAGGTTTCCCAAATTTAAAAAATATGTCTCAAAATCTGGACCCTGGCACTTACAGGGTGACAATGATGCCTTGCTTTGCCCTGTATGCAGCATCAGTGCTGATGTCTAAAGGAGTGCTCTCTTTGGACTACAACTGGATATACAAAGTGGTGACATGTCCTGCATCATTAGAATTCAATCACCAGACATTTTAGGACTCAAAGGACTAGAAGGCTGTGTGTGCTAAGAGAACTAAATGGCAACACCATACATGACGCTGTTTGCATAAAACACCTAAAAGTAAATGAAAAAGTCTTTATAACAAAATAAGATCTTGTTTTACTGATAGAAAATAACTGTATGGATTTTTAAAATGTGTTTAATGGTACTTTATGCAGTAGCAGCAGATTTCATAGCTACAAGAAATGCAACAATCAATTTAACAAATAGCCGCTCCTGTCCTGAGGGCTCCATCCTGTGTCCGTCCAAAGCTGCTTGTCCTCAGCCCACACTATCCTTCACCCACACCGGCTTCCTGCCAGCCTTGTGACGCACTCCTGATGCAGCAGACTTGGTGTCCTCCAGGGGAGGACTGACAACTCATGGGGCCCTGGGCAATAGGGGATCATGGGGCCCCTGTGTCCTTGCCTAAACTCAAAAAAACCTATGAAAAAGGTACCAGGGGCATCTCATGGGGCCCCCTACTGACCCTGGGCCCCCGGGCAGTGCCCGAGTTTTCCAAATGGTCAGTCCACCCCTGGTGTCCTCTATACATGCCATCACAGCACAGTCGGTACTGTTTTTCACCTTCATCATCTATACCTATTTGGTGTCTGGGACATGGGTAAGCTGAGGCAACGCAGGTGGTTCCAGTAAGTTTTTCACATATCATGTTTCAGCAAGTTTCATGCTTACTCCTGTGACTTTTTTGGACAATAATAAAAACCACTTTCTGTTCGACCAACTCCACTGAGGATTGTGGACTATTTGTTATATAGTAGGTTTATTTATTTTCCTTGGTGCTCCTCATACTCTCAGTAATGTTTGATTCATGTGGTTCATTTGGAATTCTGAGCTGCCAGAACTATCCATGCCACCACCTTCATGCACCTAATACTAACTTTCACCTATTGCACCAGGTTTCCTATACAAATTTTCAACAAGAAATGTAAGAACACAATCAAAACAGCTAAAATATAGTAATAGTAGTAGAGTAGTAGAAAAAAAAAGCTAAATTCTTCGAGCCTATCAATAGTAAGAAGTGAGGAGAAATAATTTAGGCCCATAAAAGACGATCATGGGAAGTTGGTCACAAATGGCAGGGAGAAGGCAGATGTATTAAATACAAGTTTCTCTTCAGTTTATACAATGAAACCCTAAGGATAATAACATTTTATTGAATGTACCTTAGTGACTGACAGAAATCCAGTTTCAAAATTAACTAGAAAAACTTTATGTGAATAAATTACTAGGAACTTTCATGACTTACACTCATGAATCCTCAGAGATCCTAGTCTTATTATTAAAAACCATTGTTTCCTACATTTTAAGGACACCCTATTGACTAGAATGGTTCCAACTGATTGGCCTAAAGCAAGTGTTCCAATATTCAACAAAGGGTTGAGATATATAGCAGGAGACTATAGACAGTGACTATATATTAATAAATTACCTGCAAAACTTGTATCAGAAGAAGCAACCAACATACATTTGTAAAAGACCGTTCTGGTAAGATAAGCCTATTAATGTTTTGTGAGGAACTGAATAGTAATTTAAACAGAGAGAGGATTATGGACATATTACTATTGGACAGATTATTTATCTAGATTTTGCTAAAGCAGTCAGTATAGTACCTCATAAAAGCCTAATTTACAAATTACCACCATTGAAGATGTTTGTACTTAGAAAAATGGTTACAGAAACAGGTTCAGGGAGTAGTGATAAAAGGTTCATTGTCTAAAGGACCTAAGGTTGTGTGTGGTGTACCCCATAGGAAGGATGTAAATAAAACAGACACAGCTCATAGAAGGGCAGCAAAATCAATAGGGAGCTGGAGGACCTCCGTTCTGAGGGACAATTATAAAAACTAAACATATTTAACCTGAAGAAGGGGCATTTAAGTGGGGATATGATCACAATGTAAATGGTGATTGCAGTATCATTAATAAAATGTTTACTCTAAGGACCCTGAGGAAGATACACAGCCAAAACCTGAGAGTGGATAATCTAAAACTGTGTAGGGGGTCTTTACTGTTACAACAGTGAAAATGTGGAGCTCCCTTCCCCAGTTAGTGGTAATATACAGGGGTGTAGGAGTTTTTAGTGACACACACAAAACTGGATGAACCAGTGTCTTTATTTCACCCTGTCACGTAACTATATAACAGATCAGGGATGAGTGTGGCCTGCTGAAGAAGATCAGGCCAGGTGCTAAAGAAGGAAGAATTGTGCCATGCATATATAATTCCCCCAATCTTTATATTTAAGAACGTATTGATATTAAAGCAATATGATAAGAAAGACCCGCTTGGGGTCTGACTTGCCACTTATTTACTGTTGTCGTCCTATACGGTGTTCAGAGAAGGTGCCATACAGGAGTAATGAACAGTAAATAGGCGTATTCCAGATGTTAAAGGGTAAGGATCTTAAGTTGGATCTGCAAAATGGAGGAAGGCGAGCCACCAGCAGAATGAAAATGGGGCAATCTCTGAGAGTACCTTGTCTTGAAGAGTTCCTAAAGGTGGGGTTGGAAACTTGTATGTTGCAGAATGAAGTCTGGACCCTGTCCCCTCACAGCTCCTACGGTCACCCTCTTCTTCCATCCTATGCTCCCTCACTCACATCTTAAATCTTTCCCTCTCCACCGGTACCTTCCCCTCCCCTCTAAAGCACACGCACATCACTCCCATACTTAAAAAACCCTCCCTGGACCCCACCGACCTGAACAACTTAAGAAACATCTCCCTACTGCCATTTACCTCTAAACTCCTAGAACGCTTAGTCTATAAACGCCTGAGCTCCCACCTCACCGACAACAACTTTCTCGACCCTTTACAGTCTGGCTTCCGCCCCCTACACTCCACTGAAACTGCCCTACTCAAACTCACCAATGACCTACTAAACGCCAAAACCAATGGCCACTATACAGTACTCCTACTTCTCGACCTCTCTGTGGCTTTTAGACACGGTTGACCACCCCCTCCTCCTCAAAAAACTCCACTCTCTTGGCCTCAGAGGCTCCGCTCTCTCCTGGTTCTCCTCCTATCTATTGCAACGCTCCTTCAGTGTTACCTATAACGCTGCCACCTCCCCTACACTCCCTCTTTCTGTAGGGGTCCCTCAAGGTTCTGTCCTCGGACCCCTTCTCTTCTCCATCTACACCTCCTCCCTTGTCCAATTGATAAACTCCCATGGCTTCAATTACCATCTCTATGCTGACAACACACAAATCTATCTCTCTACCCCTCACCTCAGTCTCCACTCGTATCACTAGCCTAATAAGTGACATATCGGATTGGATGTCACTCCACTTCCTCAAACTCAATCTTTCCAAAACTGAGCTCCTAGTTTTCCCCCCAGCCCGTGCCCCCCCCCCCGACTTCTCCATCAAGATCAACAACACTATCATTAGTCCCACCCCTCATGCCAGGGTGCTAGGTGTAATCTTAGACT